TGTACACACACATATATACATACTAAAATGGGGCAGAGGGCCTGAGGCCCTGTTAGGTACCCTGGCTTGAGATGATCCATCCCTTGTGCAATTTAACTTCTGTTCACACTCATAAAATGAGTTAAAGCATAGTGTGAGAGGGACTGATTCCTGAACTGCAGATTTATGTGAATATTAGTCTGGCCTGTTTCAACCCTCCCTACTGCCCACATTTACAACACATGGGAACACTTCCTCCTAAAAACACACAAGAAATGAGAACTTGGAATTGTGTGACATGATCTCATGAACGTGGAAGCTTAACCCTTTCTCCACGATTGTGGGAGGAGGGCAACTGTTTGGACTAGGAGTGGGAAGAATCAGAGTTCAGAGCCCTATTCAGCCATGAAACTCACGGGCTCCAAAGCAGTCATACACAGACTCGAGATACAGGATTGTTATGAGAGTAAAAATGCAACAGATAAATACAATACCTGAAACACCCCATAATAATATACACATACATCTGCAATTCAGGAGTCAGTCCCTGGCATACTATGCTTTAATCTATTTCATGAGTGAGAATAGAAGTTAAATTGTATTAGGGATGGATCATCTAAAGCCAGGGTAACCAGTAAGTTCTCAGCCCCATTTTACCTTTCAATTTTTTAAAGACTTTTAAAAATGTAGAACGTTATATGTCGGTGTGGGTTTTGTATAAAAAACTAAATATAATATTTTTGCAGTCATTGTATTCATAGTAAACATAAAATACAATATTGTAAACAAATCAACATAATAGTAATTGCATTTATAATAACTGTATTTAAGTACAATACTGTATAGTAAAGTGTCTTTCAGAGAAAGGAAATTACTTGTGCCAATCTCCATGAGAATAGAAACCAGCCTACCCTAAAATCCATAGACAATCTCAAAAGATGTTTTTATGTCGTTTAATAAGCATCTTTTCTCCAAACATTGTTTGGTTCAAACTGTTTCGGCAAAGGAGGTCTAGAGACACCACAACTATTCCTGCTTCTTTCAGAGAAACAAGAATACTCCCAAAATAATCTTTATGCTGGTATTCTAGAAAGAGGTCCTGCATCATGTCTATAAGTGCTTTGAATCCACTGGAAACTATCTCTAGAAACTGGCATTAATTATGAAGTACAATATGGAATCCAAGAGCTTCAAAGAAATCTGAAGAATCATTGCATATCAAGATGCTGGCTTGTGGCATGTTGGGTAATTGGCTCATTTACGCAAGGATCGACAGATGCAGATCAGCCAATTTCCAATTCCTTGACAATATCGACTGCTATGTAATGGTAGAAAAGTTTCTCCTCTTTCCCAAATTAAGGTGTTAAAAAGTCTAATCTGTAGGGATTCCAGTGTTGATAAAATTCCTTCTAATGGCAAATCCAGACAATGGTTCTAATATTTTGGTGGCCAAAGTAAGGCCACCAAGAAATAAAAGAACAAGAGTGTCCCTCTGGGAATACTGATGCTTAGAGGAGCAGAGGGAAAAAATCTGAATGGTTTTCTTTTCTGACTGAAGAACATCATGATACGTGTGTGTGTTTGAGTGTGAGACAGAGAAGGCAGCTGGAACTTTAGCTGGTAAGGCAGTGATATTACTGGGAGGGCAGATTCAAAACTTTTTCATAGTGTACAGGAGGTTCTTACTTTTTGACCAAAAACACAGAAAATCAGATCCCACCTAAATCAGCCCTCAGATATGGGTGGAAAACATAGCTGTCTAAAGATCATACAAAATAACAGCACTCTTGCCAATAGGAAAAACCAACCACAAAGTCCCCATTTGTGTATACGTGTGTGTGTGTGTGTGTGTGTGTGTGTGGACATTTTCTCAGAATAAAGATTGTGGGTTGCAGCAGATTATCAGTTTTACTCCCTCTATTCTCAGCTATTATTTTGCATCTTTATGCCATTGCTTGACCTCAAGATTCTAATAAAAAATATTGACCCCAGAAGCTTTCTTGCTCCTGGTCTTTTCAGACATACCTTTCTAAAATCTTGCTACATTACAGACTGACCATCTTTTATACTTTGTGGAAAATGTAAGGAATTCTATGTGGTTTATTTAAAAAAGAACTGAGCTATTATAATGCCTAAGAGATTATCAGGGAAGTCTCCACTTCAAATTTCACCTCTTTTGCCATGAGCCCTCTAGGTAAGACTAATAACACCCATTACTTTATGGCAAAGGTCTTCAATTTCTATCAGTTTCAGAATCACACCAAGCTTTAAGCATCAGTTTAGGCATCTTAAAGGCTGAAATAGATGTCTTAAGCATCTGCAAGACCTCCAGCATCCACTTTGCCCTTTAAAACCTTTGAGAAACTCTTAAGAAAAAAAATAAGGATCCCCACCTCTCAGAGAGGTCTGAGGACCACAAAAGGGATGATGACAGGCTGGGTAGAGCTCTTGGATTGCACCCTTTGGAGTATTATTTTAAGAGGTAGTTGAAAGGGTAATAAAATACAGGTAGTTCCCAGTTTAAGAATGAGTTCTGTTCCCAAGGTCTGTCCTTAAGTCAAATTTGTATGTAAACCAGAACAGTATTATTGTATAATATTGTATAAGTAGTATTGTGTAATTAACTCGAACCATTGTGTATTTAACACAAATTTTGCTACAATAGGCTCCGTTCAAGGTCTGTCCTTAAGTCAAATTTGTATGTAAACCAGAACAGTATTATTGTATAATATTGTATAAGTAGTATTGTGTAATTAACTCGAACCATTGTGTATTTAACACAAATTTTGCTACAATAGGCTCCGTTCTTAACCATGGGTCATCTGTAAATTGGGTGTTCTTATACCGGGGACTACCTGTAATACACATGAACTGTACACACAGTATATATTAATGTTATGGCTCCATGATGAATTACAGCTAGCTTTTCTTAGAAGCTGGGAAATGTCATTCTTTGCAATCTAACTCCTGACTCCTATTTACATTTTAATTTTCAAGGTTAAAAATATGAAAGTCCTGTTAAATCATTCCTTAGCTTGTTCTCTACACTTTCTACCTAGATACCTTCAGATTCTTTCAATTAGCACTGGTAAACAAGATACTCAAAATTGTCATAGTGTTAACGGCAGCCTAAATTCAACAGAGTCTATACAGAAAAACACTTTAACAAGGATTAGTGGTGTGCCTAGTCAATACTGATTACTCCTGGATCCCCATTATGGCACCCAGGGGTGCCAACATGCTCAGTGACATATTCCTAGGAGCCCACCAGTGTCTAGCAGGTTTCATTTTATTTGATTTCTATTATTTTCATTAAAAATAAATGCATTAGAAACTAGCATGCTGTAAAGCAAAGCACCAGCTTTGGGCATTATCTTTATTTCCAAGAATGCTCCTGGGTTCCTCAAGATTCCCACAGATATTCTTAGAAAATAAAAAGCCAGACTTTGCTTGGGAGTGTGTCCAGTTGCCTAGAAAATAATCAAGCTCAAGCAGTAGAGACCTAGAAGATCTGATGGGAACAAGCTTGGCAGTTTACCTTCAAGTAAATATGGATTTAATGACTTGCTGCATTCTCCATGGGAGCCATTTTGTGAAACTGCCAGTAGCATGTCCTCAAAATTTCAAACATGCCCCAAAGTCCTCAGAGAAAACATAAAGCAGAACACAAAATCCATCAGGAATGATATAGACATTGCAAGAGAAGCTGTGAAGAAGGGACCTAGAAATACCACCAAAAGTTATCACTAGTTCCAGGCAGGTGGAATGGGAAAGATAGGAAGATAGAGAATAGCATATAAGATTGCCCAATTACAAAAGCATCCGGCAGTTTTCCTATATCAATTGAATTGTAGCCCCAAAAAATCTGCAATACCACAAGGTACTCTTATCTCAATCCAAGGCCAAGGCCTAAGTATATCATTATACCCTGGAACTAAAATCAAAATATCACCAGTCCTAATTCAGGACCAGCTTTGGAATGACCATCCAGTGTGGTGGTCACACACTGAGAGAGATGCTTCCAGAGAAATATGGAGCTAGATTTTGCTCATTTAGTCTGTCCATACCCAGATTCAGATGTATATGTCAGATGCTTACTCACGGACATATGTCTATGCAAGGTAAATTACTAAATGAGGATAAACACAATGCCAAAAAGATGCCCCAACTGCAAAACAAACAAGATAAAATATGTAATCAAGCTGACAAGGAACAGATTTGTAAAGCCAGTAACAGCTGGTCAGATTTCATCATTAACATGCAGAGGTTTTCCAAAACACGAACTACTGATTTATCAAAGGTGGGAATAGAGAACGAATTGTTGGAATACAGAAGGGACCACGCAACCTTCTCTTGAAAAAGAGTCTAGTACAATGTCTTCCACTGCAGAAAAGGCTTCATTCCACGTGCCCTAAGAGCATGTTTGCACCATCCTACATTTGAATACAACATGGCTGAGTGGGACTATTTGACTACCACATATTTCAACAGCCTTTGCTAAGTCTAACTGTACTTAGAGCTGCTGTAGCTTCAGGACCACATCATGTTCAATGGATGCAGGTGGCAAAGCCCTGCCAAGAATCGTTTGCCCTGTCCTCCTTGCTACAGCTTAACATAGCTGAGAGCTACCCCACAAATAGATTTAACCACAGCTCCTTGATATATGGGGGGAGGGTAGGCAAAACCCTGAGACATTGGGGTGAGTAGATATAATTTCCTGCTCTACTTAAGAGAGGAGAGGCCTCTTGACATTTCCTGTGGTTTGGGCCTGGGAGGGAAGGGAGAGATAGCAAGAGTCATGTGATTAGCTTCTCAAATGGGAGGAGAAACTAGGCGGGCAGATGTGACGAGGCATCTTCTATAAATGGGCCAAGCACCACTGCCTCCATCTCTCTACTTCATCTGGCAGCTGGTCTCCCCCATGGTCCGGAAAGATTGCGAACAACCAACAGGTAGCTTTACACAATTGCTATGGGCTGTTAAGTGGTAGGGTGGGGCTACATGGCTAGTTGCTCCAGCTTCTAGCACCAGCGATGAGCGTAGAAGAAACATTTGTCTAATGGAGGAGAGTGGATCTACGGGCTTCTTGAGAGCCTCGCATACCAGCGTGTCAGTCAAATATTCTGGGCAAGAACTGGGGAAAAATTGTCTAAAGGGAAAATAGAGAGAGGAGTGCTTTAAGGTCCATATTTTTACAAGAGACAGGTGGAATAGAGAATGGGGTCATTGTCCTTAAGTCTATTAAATCCCTATTCCTCATATTATCCTACTCTAAGCATATTTAGGACAGGAAGCAAAAATGGGGAAGTTACATAAGTCATACCGTGACTTAAACAAGAGGAAATATGGCGGAGGCGCCAGTGGGTGCACACTTCTTCAGGCACTGTGTAAGGGATCTTGGAAATTTAATGCATGTGCCCTCTAGTGTTGGGAAAGAAAATCAAAATCCTTTTCAAACCAACCCCCCAAAAAGTGTTAATAGTATTTTAAAGGAATTCTTTACCTTCAGTTCCATTTTTCACTTGTTCTAGGGCACTTTCTTTCTGTATAGAAACCTATGCTGTTTGGGTGTAAGGAAATCCCTGCACCTTTGCACAGAACTTTGATCTGAAAACTCCCTTTTGTCTCAGGATACAATCATACTTCCTTCATGAATCCTGCCTCTGGACCAAGACTAGCCGGTAAGATATGCATAACTTTTTTTTTCCTCCATTTTTGGAATCACAGTGAAGTGTAACTGTCCAAGATAGGAGGCAGCGTAAGTGATCCTTTCAGATTCAAGAGTACATGAAACTATTTTGTGGGGAAAGGGACCTGCTGTAGTGCCTGATTTATTTATTTATTTTGTTTATTATTAAATTTGTATGCCGCCCATCTCCCCCAACGGGTGACTGAGCGGCTCAGAGTCATGCTGATCCATACTTAACAATAGTACTTGAAAAGGCAAGATTGAGGGCATTTTTCAAAAATCATTGAAGGTAATGGAGAAATTGTCTGAGTTAATGCACAAAGGATCTAGTTCAATAATTCTCAACATGTGGTTCAGAGGCCACTAATGGTTTGCAAGAGTACTGCGGGTGGCCTCTAGCATGGGTGCCGAAATAAATATCTTTCTTAAAATGGCCGAAACTCGAAGAGAATACAAGTCTCCAAGATTTTTAGTATTCTTGTTTAAAATTCTGGCTTTCCCTCCCAAAACTCATAAGATTTTAGGCAGAAGTACCAAATAATCTATGAGATTTTGTGTTCTCAAAAATTTTGGTATTAAAAAAAATTAATTTAGTTGAGGTTCAGTGGTCATATATAGTATGGTGCTTCTGTAGTAGCACCCTAAAGCTTTCAATCACAATGCAATGATCTTATAACAGAAAAGTGGGAAACTGCTGCTTTAAGACAGCGAAAAAAAGCAAAGAGACAGGTATGGGACCTCTAGATAAATTAGCTATAATAATATTCTTTAAATGTCAATATTTTGACAAAAATTTAATTTAATAGAACAATTAGGGGAAAGAAGAAATTTCCTCAATTTATCTCCACTGTTTTAAAATCACATTAATAACATATCCGTGAACTAACCACTTTGTAACACCCTTTGAATCATTTTGGAAAATATTTAATAGGGCAATCAGACTTATTCAAAAGTAAGTTCCATTGCATTTATTGGGGCTTAATTCCAAGTGATTGGAGACTTGGATTTCACCTAAGAACAAGCCAAAAGGTTCTTTGCACTGCATTTCAAAAACGTTTACTGATAACCTAGGCACATACAACAGCCATAAATTCTTGGGCTGCTCCTCTATAGCTCTGCTTACTATATACTATGATATTATTTAAAAATAAGTCCAGCTGATAACTGTAAAGGTTACATTCAAGAAAATCTCATCAGACCTAAATTCAAAACTAGATCTTCTCTGAGTCAATGGATATATTTTTAATTTTTTGATCTCTGTAAAGCTACTAGGCAATACATTAATGGCATCATATATCTTACTACAGTATGGTGATTGAAAAACCACACATTTACCCTAATTAATCAAATTTAATTCTGGTAAATTGCCTATCACTTTTGAAATTAAAACAAAAAATACTCTCTAAAGAAATTTTCTTTATTCTAGTTAAATGTCTCATTCCCCAACCCCAAAATATAATTAAGATAGGTCTACACAACATTCATCCCTGGCAGGCCACATGTGACATCACACTAAACCTGTTTACCTATTGCTGCCCAATAAAGTTACATTTACCTGTTAAAAAAGCTAATACATGGTTTGTTTTGCCTTGCTTGTCTGACTGGGCATTGTGAAACAAGTATGCTATTCACACCAATACTGTATTGTTTAAAGATGATAGTAAAGGAGAAACTGGAGCTGGTCAGTGTAGGTGGCTGCTTTTCTCAGAGGTCACCTCTTATCTGTACTAAATCTATTTATGTTGGATAAATTGATTTTATCTCCCCCAAAACTTTATGAGGCTGTGATTGACTGAAAGCTGACCTGTAAGTTTCCATGGCTAGCAATGGAACTTGGGGCAATAGTCCAAGATACACCAAACTAATACTGTCCTTTCTGACAATACAAGTGTTACTGTTTTTCTAAACTGAGTGGGAAGGGCAGAATTTTCAAACAGGATCAGTGTGCTAGTTCTTTATTTTTCCAAAAATATTTTTCATTAAGTAAAACTAAATTAAGGTGCTTTTAAAAGTTCAGCCCTGACTTTAAAAAACATAAAATCAACTTGTTAATATGCAGTAGAGTTACCAGACTGCTAGAATTATATTGGTTTTCAAAGCTAATTGTTCACCTCTTTTAATGCTCGACAGAGATACTTGCTTTCTACACCAAAACCTGAGCTGCATGCTTCCATCTCCACAATCTGTAAAACACCTAATTCCGTCAAAGAAAATAAGAGATTTCAAGGTGAGAAGTTAAGGATTGAGAAATGAAGTATCAAAGAAACATCATTCAACAGCTTTCATTCAGATAATGTATTTCTTTTTCAATTTATTGAATATTCAATTTGTTGAATATTTATAAGGCATTCTGCTAAAACCTCCAGCACAGACAATTATCTGTAATATGTCATATAGAGTAATTCTGTGTCCTTTCAAAGTTTTGGACTACAATTTCCATAGTCTCTTGCAACTCCCAGTGCTATTTGAGGCTGGTGGAATTGATGTGCAAAATAACTGGGATGCACCAATTTGCCTACCTCTACTCCAGTATTACGTCTCTGTCACTGGATAGCCTCTTGAGTTAAACATACAACATAAATAATTCTGGGAGGTTAAGCAAGCTGAGGAGCAATGGCTGCCAATTTGGGGAAAGGAGTTTCTTTAGTTAAACATGCACTGGATAAGCCAGGTTTTACCACTTACTCCAGGACCAATGACACTGAAGACATCAGGAGTCAGATCTTCTGTTCCACATTTTTTAAAAATAATTCTGCCATTATTAGTGAAATCTATATATGAATAACCAATATGCCTAGCACTTTAAAAAAAAAAGAGGGCGGGGAAGTAGGAGTGAAAAAGATGAATTTAGTTTAGTTTCACATAATTAGGTTTTGGTTTTGCACATTCACCAAAAATGTGTATTTTAAGGGAGAATGAGAACAACTGGGAAATCTTCTCCTCTCCCCACTACACACAAAGACATTTGGGAAAGACATTCCAGAAGTAAGGAGCGTACAGGGAAAAGCAAGTTAAGATAGCAAGAGATTCTCGCTAGAGTTGCATAAAAAGAATTTGGGATACAAAATGACCGTTGACTTTCTACATTGGACTTGGAACACACTACTGAAGGGTAGGCCACACATACTCATATAGTCTCTACAATTCGCCACATGAACTGGTCAAAGGAGTCACATGCAGTGGCTATCTAAAAAGTGGTACGACAACCACTAGTTTTTCCTTTTCTAAGTATTTTTATGTTTATAACCTAATACAGAAGTTACTTAGTCTTTCTACAACTGGGGAAGGGACAGGGTGGGGAGATATTCAGATAGAAGGAAACATATAGGGAAGAGAAAAATACCAAGAAAAAAAAAAAATAGCCACCCTCAGAGAATTTGTAGTCCTTGTTTTCTACACGATTTTGCCATGTGTATCTAGTAAAGCTGTAACACATAAAGATTTAGTTTATTTGCTATTTTACCCTCTGTTGTTAGAAGCAGCTGAAACCCTATGTAAGCTGCGAAGCCTATGTAGGCTGTGAACCTATCTGAGCAGCAAGAGTACTTTTAATACCAGTAAAAGTGCTATCTCACTCCTAGCCCACAAAACAGACTGTCAAACCTCCCCTCCTGCTAGCGTCTCCCTGTTTTATCAGCAGCCAGGGAGCTGTCAGCGGGTGGGGTAGGGGAGACTAAATAGGAGGCCAGCTCAGAAAGTAATTCTGGATGAAGACAACAGTGAAAGCCTGTCACAGATTACAGCTACATTTTAAGGACAGTGGACTCATCCATAAAGTAGAAAGCACTACTAAACGCTTGTGTCCAAGTGTAGTGTTTCCTACTTTATGGATGAGTGTACTGTGAGCAACGGAGGCAACAAGGAACAGCACAATCAAGAACAAGGATGGAAAAGGGAAGAGGCAACGTAACATGTAAGTTGTGGGATTGCCCACAGATTATATTGCACAACATTTAAGTACAGATTCCTTCTGATGTACTGCTACTATATTCATCCCCATTTTCCAGCATTTGGACTCAAAATTCTCCAAGCCACATTTATGACTTAGGTTACATATTTCTGCATTTAAGTACAATAAAGTAAGGAAGAAAACCTAACAATATGGCAAAGATATTCCAAATATATTTGGCCTGTACTTCATTTTACTATTTCCTCATTCTCCTTCCGTGAGTCATATTCTCCCCTCTGCTACATTCCAATATGTTCATGTTTTTTGAAGAATCAAAAAAACTAGAAACATATTTAGTTGAGCAAAGCCAAATTCAGAATTCATTAAGTTTTATTTCTCTTGCTTGTTACATTTAGAAACTCATGATAGTTCCCTCCAAACCTAAATTACTTTTGCCATTTAGGAAAGAGGTTGGCTGAAATGTGATGATGATGATGATGATGATGATGATGATGGTGGTGGTGGTGGTGGTGGTGGTGGTGGTGGTGGTGGTGGTGATGACAGAATAAGCTAGTGGCTATGTACATGGGGGGGCTTGCTAATACTGAATATATTTCATGTCCATTAATCTAATGAAAATAAATAAAATATTAGCACAAATGTATGTTGTATTTATTTACAAAGATGGGACAAAATAGCTTGAGGGCTTAATGAACACAGGCATTTTTAAAAGTCATTCAAAATCAGTTCTATAGTGTTCTCAACCACAGGTTGCTGGTTAGATACAAAGAAAGTTAGTTGCATCAGGTCCCACTGGATAAAATGTGAAATAATATATTAACCTCAGCCTTGGGAAGAAGGAAATGGCAAACCACTTCCCAAAATGTTGCCAATTTCAGGGACTTGTTCAGGCAGTCACCAGGAATCAAAGGTGCGTACACACACACACAAAGTAAATCTCCAGCACCATTACATCCAACCCCATGAATGCATAATGAATCAAGTAACAGTGTCAGAGAACAGGAACTATTCTGCTGTTCCTCTGAATCTTGTGTGGAAAAATTGTTCATTTAAAACACTCCTAGCCTCAAGAGCTGACAGTAACTAGTAAAGACGTGCAGAAAAGGGGAAGTAGAGAGTTGTGCTTTTTTTAATAACATGAAAAGGGGAAGTGCATTTTACTCCATCTTGAAGCCCTGATTTATTTTTATACACCCCAACTCTCCTTGTCTTAAGGTCTGCATGCCAAATGGGAAGACCGAAGTGCACTTGCTATCAGTTTACCTGAGAATACTTTTAGAGCATCACTTCCAGATCCGTATCTTTCTCAAGGATTAAAGTACTCATCAGACAACTGAAATGTAGATTTAAGGGCTTTCCCAAGTGCCCATCATGGCTATCCACCTTGGTTCTGCTGTCTGAATTACTATTCCCCATATTGTGTATTCCAAACAGCTGTTTACAGAAAAGGGGCACACAAGGAAATTGTGTTCTTGTGGGCTGTCACAACATGAGATGTCATCTTATTCATTAAAATCAAAAACATGAGCTTCTCTCCTGGAATGAAGGTACATGATATCAGCATTTAGAAAGAGGCTTAAAATTCCCCATCTATGCATGACAAGGTGGCCAGGAGGAAAAACACAGCGTGCATGAGTAGCATGTGCGCATTTAGATCAGGGGTAGGCAGTCCATGGGCTATACATGGCTCTCCCAGCACCTTGAAAAATCAAGCTGAAATACAGCCAAAAAATGGCTACATTTCAGGGATGTAAAAGGGTTAGAAATGGGACAAGAAGCTTCTAAGTGGCCTCCTGTTCCCATTGCCACCCTTCCCCGCCACCCTTTCACACACACACTCACACAAATGTTTTTCAGGTCAGTTTTCCCTCCTCTTCAGGGTTTACAAGTGGGAATCAGAGTGGTTTGCTTTAAAGCCCTCAAATCAGGCTGAAATCAGCCAAAAGTAAACTTAAGGCTTTTTTCAGGGTTGAGCCGGTTAAGAGTATAAATAGCAATTACTTGTTTCACAGAGATCTCCCGTTTCCATTCCCATCCTTATCCAAACATCCACCCAAAAAGGATGGAAAAGTTTAACCTGTGACATGACAACCCCACCAGTGCCATCTCTGAAACCCTCTGAATTGCAGCCCCGGACCGCTTCAGTGTTTCCCAGTGCCGCACCACATCTGTTGCCACCTACTATTCATGCTATCCTCAAGGGCAAAAAGATTGCCAGTTCCAGGCCATTCAAAAGGTGTCCATGTGTTATTTTAGTACTTTACTAAATAGGAAAGATCTAGATAAATGTAATTAATTAAAAGATTTGCCTTCATCCAATAATGTAATGCCAAATATATTTACACATTCTTTATACCTATTTTTAAAAGTCACATAGCTAGTATATGCTCATGACGTCATGTTTTCTGTTTGTTTGTGATATCATTTCTAAGCCCATAATTTCAGGATAAGACATGTTGCATTCTTTTTCATGCTGAGAAGCAGACCATTCTGAATTCCACTAGCACCTAACACATACATAAAGATAGTAACAGAAACTGAATGGCACAGAAAACAAGGGTGGGACACGGAATGACAACAGGCAAAAATGTGTATTTTTGATTATGTTGCAATGTAATTTTTCCTATATCAGTATTATACATTTAGCTCCATGAATCTAAGATGTCTTTGGCTCAGGCATCCCAAACAATAAAATGTGAAATTCCATGCCAAGAGTTTCATGTTTGTGATTTGACATGAGGGGAAGTGTGTGAAAAAAGGAGGTTCACAATCTGTGCACTGCTCTGGCAAGGGGTATATTTTCCTTTGTAAAGCAAGACCAAAAACGAAACAAACACTATTGGCAAGAGCAGGCTCTAACATGTATTAGTTGACAAGATGGGTAGGATCAATTACTGCCTCCTCCTGCCCACCCAGAACACTAACTCACAGAAAAATCCTATAATATTTACTCATACTTCAGTTAGGGAAGTGAAAGGGGCAAAAGGCAAACCAGAATGGCTTTAACACAGAACACCATGTAGACAAGTAACCAAATGCCAACAGCAGGCAGCTGCAAGGACGATAAATACAACTGGCAGGAAGTTGTGTTTAAACTGATGGACAGACAAAATATTGGTTTGAGTAGTTTTTAAAAGTCAGAGCCATTATAGTTCCTTTATTTCTTTTGTTCTCAGCTGGAACAGAGAATCTTGTTTCGATCAGCCGTTTCAGAACTTCTTCCAGTCTGAATTTGCTCTCCTTGAATGTGATGTTTTCAATTCACGAAAATCAGTGACTTTTTAAAGAAAAATGAGATTTCTCCTCTCTGTACATCAAATCACATACCACAGATCCAAATGAAGTCTATTGCAAAGGGCCTGCTTGAAAGCTTCTTTCTTTTCTATTTGAAAGGGAAGTAGTTTGGACACTACTTCTACTGCCCAAACAAGGCTAACTCAAAAGTTTAGATTTTATCTTTAGCAGACTGAATAGAGAAATGTGTGCGTGCATGTGTTTAAAAATGGAAGGGACTTAAGTATTTTTATTCTTGCTATTCGTTCCCCCTTCAAACATACAGAAAGCACAGAGTACCTTTCTAAACAGAGTAAGAAGCAACAGTAATGCTGAAAAGCCTATATAGTTAAGACCTCCTTTGACCAGGCTTGGAGAAAATTCTTAATGACTCAGCAACAGTTTCTGCATTTCATAAGTTTTTTATTTGACAGAAAAAATCTCCTTGCTGTACATATCAAAAAAAATTAAATGCTTTTAAGAAATATGAAGAAACTTCTGTTCCCATCCTCCCTGATTTAGGGTTTCTCAGCTTCTTCTCAGCAAAAGTTCAGTCACCTTCCCCCTTAAAATGCCTGAATGCCCCTGTTCCAGTTCCAAACTTAACCCCTCATGACCTGGCTCAGCTGATCAATAGGAAAGAGTCTCCTTTGAGTGATAAAAAGGAAAAAGAGCACTGCATATTTATTTTTTTGTTCTGGGGGAGGAGCAGGAATAGTTTAACCCTCAATTTTGCCACCACCAAGAATCAACCCCCACTGTTGCAGGCTACTGAAAGAAACTGCCTGTTTTTCTTCAAAAAAGCTTGATAGAAACAGTGGTCAACAAAGGAAGGAGCTACTAAACAGCACTGCCCTTCCATCAAATTCTAGGTTGCCAATATGCACTCCAACTTTTTATTACAACCCTCCACCATTTCAAAGAGGGGGGCCTGAGAAACACTAAATCAAACAGATTAGGTCACATATCCCTCTACTTCCCCACCCACCCATTTGTGTTTTTTTTAAAACCTTTTATGTCTAAATCAACAAAAAGGAGACAGCTCTCTCAAAACACAGAAGTAAAGATTTTAGCTGCAAAACGCACAGGAAAAAAAAATGCTCACAGGAGAGAGGAAAAAAAAATCAAATGAACATCACCAACTGTTGGAAGAAGAGGAAGAGGAGCGCAGAGGCGGCGGATCCTGGTGAGTGTTGAGCAGAAATGTCCAGGGACAAGGGGAATGTAGCTGCCGACAAATGATGGGCAATAAAGACAGGGACAGTAAAGGAAAAAACTAATGAGAATAAAAAGGTGATGGCAAATGAAGAGCCCTCCACCCCCCCCATGCAAACACACTGGTTTCCAGTGGACATCAGGAGGCGGGGGACTCCCACCTGGGACAGCACTGTTGGAGGCTGGGGGTGGCGCAGTCTGTGGTTGCGAGGACAAGGACTTTCCACTCTCCACAAGGCTTATGGGGACCTTGGGGAGAAAAGGGAGGAGAAAAAATTAAGAAATGCAAAACAAGATGGCAATCTGACTTCTTTGCCCAGAGGTGATCAGTATAAACACATACAAATATTTTTAAGTACATTGTGTTAAGAAACATGACCACTGAAATACTACTGGTACAGGGATAATTATGACTGAGGAGAGTAGAGGAAATGCAAAGAGAGGAGAAAAGGAAGACACTGAAGTTTATAATGCCAACTGGAACAACTTCAAGGACCCGATGTATTTGCAATGCACTAAGGACCAAAATAGTGTAATGACTTCCATATACACACAATGGAAATGCACACAAACAGAAACTGTTTTTGCTTAGAAATGAGTTATAAATACAGCAAAATTCCCCACCAACAGTTATTAAAAGGGAGGTCTATCCCTCCACTCCTCCAAGTTGAGGAAAGGTAACCGGTATTACTAAAGCAGCAACGAATACCAGAAACTGCCACCTTCACCCACTGCTGCCACTAATTGCTGGGCTTTGGATGCCCTCCTTACAAAGGGTTTTAGAATCAACTACCCTGCAGGAAAGAACAACAAGAACATTCTGTAGAGTGAGAGGAAGAAAGCATCCTTGAGGCCCTCTGAACAATCCATTTTCATCAGACCAGACTATTCTAACAACCATAAAATATTACAACTTTTGTATAAATTGACTTTTCATTTTTGCTTCTCATCTCCTTTTCTCTCTATGTTGTGTATGTATTTTTAGATTGCAAGTGCGAGGGCAGAAGATGAGTGGTGTTTAT